GAAACAGCTGTGTATACAGTTTACCGGTAAATATTGTTTTGCAGTGTATCTGATTTGAAAGATTTTCAGAAATAAATTTTCGCATGCTTTTATTCATGTGCAAATCCTTTCTATAGTTTTTTTTTTCTTTTTTTTTTTTGAAAAGATAAGCCGCTGAAGTAAAAGTTCTATGCGATTACATAACTTTGTTCACGCCTAACTAATGCAGACAGCTGACTTGTCCTTGAACGGTTTTTTAGAACGTTTGGTGTGTTCTTAATTGAGGATCCATACATCACCCAAATAACTCTTGCAAATAGTCTGGTAAGTTTTGTTCGCAGCAAATTCGTTGATTTACCAACAAATCGATTAGTGAAAAGGGAGCATTTGATGAAGGAGCATTTGAACGATAGATTACACAGAGATATATAATGATGAAGGATGGCCGTGTGAAAAAATTTGATTTTTTTTTTTTTGTTGTTTTTGTTGCACATAACAATTTTAAATGCATAAAATTTTGTTTATCTCTTACTTTTTAAAATGTTTATTGATAAGTTTCAATTTTATAAATTCTTAAAAATATCAATTATTTGCCATTTAAGAATCTTCAAAAAAAGACTTTTAAAGTCTTTTTTTTTGATACAAACATTATTGATACCATACGTCAGCACTTACAGCAACAGTTTATGCCACTGAAGAAGTTATCTGTTGATGCGACTAATGCTGATGATAGATAAAAAAAGTTTATCTTAAGAAAATTCTAAAGTAATAAATAATAACAAGAAAAAAAAAAAGTAAATAAAATGACTAAAATTTCTTACGAGGTTTCTTTGGTGACTGCGCTGTCGACAAAAACTGAAAATAGAACCAGCAAGTCTTTGTCATTTTCAATGAGTAATACTTAGAAAACTATCATTCATTGAAATAATATACGGTTTTTTTTCAAAAATTTAATTTTTTTAAAATTAATCTGACGTCAAAAAAACTGAACCACAAAGCTATCAAATTAATCTTTTGTATTTTAACAGAAAAGAAAAAAAAGAACTTAGACAGTTTCAATCAAAACTAAATTTCTTCCACTTTTCTTTTATATTTCGTTTACATAAACTGTCTAATTGTTTATGCAAACCGTTTTTTGTTATATTTTACTGTTTTAAGCATTTTTTTTTACTTAGACAATTAACAGTCTAAAGCAACGAAAAAAAAAAAGAGAACACTGTCTTAGACAAGAAATTTAAACTAAATTTTTGATGAAGCAATAGACTGTTTCTTCAAACTAATCTTAAGTCAGCGTCTTGAACAGTATTTTATAGATATTTTTTTATCGTTTACCTGAGACAAAAAATATTAATTAAAAAAAAATACATTATTGTATAGGAGGTGGAAAATAGGATTGGAACTGATCGGTGATAATCATATTCGTAAAAATTTTTTCTTTTACAAAAATTAAAAATCAAAAATACTACGGTTATTACTGTATTTTACTGTACAGAATATATCTTATACAAAAAAATTTGCAAATAATTTAACATGATGCACGAATTTATTAAGGGGTAAAAAAATTTTGTTAATTCAGTTCTGAGGTATGCAGATTTTTTATTGTCATTTCAATTGCTTAGTTATTGAAGTGTTGAAAAAATAGACTGCTGCAAGAGTTTTGCATTTTCTTCTGTCTAATATTACAGTCAGTGTCTAACAATGATAGCTTTTTTCAGCGCAAAAATGAAGCAAATTTTTGTCTGACGTGAGATAAAACAAACATATAAGTTAAAAAATCAAAAAAAAAAAAGTTACTGAATGGTAACGACAAAAAAGTTAAAACATAATTTAGTAGAATTTTATATTCAATGTTTTTTCACCTGATCAGAAAACTTAGGTTTTTTTTATCTCAAATCAACTTCAAACTACTGTTTTTTTTAAGTATCCAAAGTAGCAGTTTTCAGTAATCTTAAACTTTTTAGTTTACAGAACCAAAAGTAAGTTGCACTTCAAGAAATAAGTTGTTGCAATTATCAAGTCATTTGAATTAGGCTGTCACTATTTGCTTTTGAACAGCTCCTCAAAAATTTGTTACGTACAATCTATCATTTTTATTATTAAACTTCTTAAAACCATAAAAAATACCATTGTCATCAGTAGATGAAAAGAGAAATAAAAAGCTTTCTGTCATTAGACTATGGTTTGGGTACATACTCAGATATGCTTATAAAAAAAAAAGCTCTCAATAAAATATGTTTTTTTTTTTCTTTCACCGGCCAAAGTAATGACAAATTCGATCAGTCGGGTTAAATAACGTATTCAAAACGAACACAAAACATTCAAAAAGATCGAAAAAACTATTGTTGATAAACATAGCACTCATCTAACTTTTTATTCACTTATTGATTTTCTTTTCTTTCTTCTTCTTTTTCTACTTCTTAAGAAAACCAGAATGAGTGACTGTAGAAAAGAGTTTATTCTACAAATGACATAAATTGTAGTTTCAAGTAATATGTCTTCATTTTTTTCGGGGCGGGGGGAGGTCTTTAAACTCTTTGACAATTTTTAAGTGTACTAATACAATAAAAGTTGTTGTAGAAGAAAAAAAAAAGAATAAAAGTTACTTGATACGATACGCTTACAGTTACTGCTAAAGACTACTTAAAACATCAACTAGTGTTGTAAACAGAAGTGTACCAAAAATAAAAGAATGGAAGAGATGAGCACAGTTTTTGACAATATTGAACAAAAATCACATTTTATTAAGTATCAACTTTGGAATTGTTAAATTGATTTTATATCTTAATTTTTAGCCAAATTTTTGTACTGTTACATTAAGAACTAGTAAAAAAAGAAAAAAAACTGACCTTTAGTGCAGATAATAATGATTGCCAGCTGTAAGAAGCTCATAATTGATCAAGCAAAAATAAGAAGCTTTTTTTTTTTTCTGGTTAAGCTCTGTTACAGAATGGTTAGATTAAACACTAGCCAACGATGTAGCCAAGTTTACTTGCCTACAATCAGCAGATATTTATAAAATCCAATTGCAAAAAGCCGGTTTTTGAACTAAAATCAATTTGAACTGTCTCATTTTGTATTGTGTTCGTAACTCATAGCGACAAATCCGATAATGAATTGCTCAGTCTAATTTTTCGCATAAAACAATTTAAAGTTGCAGGTTACTCAAGCGGAAATTAAATAAATGCTTTTTGAATGCCGATTGAAATATTATTTATAAATAATAATTTGACGTCATGCATAGATTGCGGTTATTTTTGGTTATAACATTCATCAGTTTGTTCGTTTGACTTTTTTAATTCATCTTTGTTCATTTTGTTTGATCGGGGGCAAACTAGACCTATTAACAGACAGTTTGTGAAACCTGTCTATAACACAATTGCGGCTTAATATATACTGTTCTATGATCATTTTTTTATTTTGAATTTAAATTTTTTAAAAAATTATTCAACATTAACATTTTTATTCCTTATCTCACTTTTGTCTAAAATAAGCATAAAAATAAACAACTAACACTGAAATTGACACCGTTAAAAACCTGTAATTAAATATTAACAAATTTTTAAATCAACTTTCTTAGATGTTTAACTTTTAAACAGCGAAAAAGACCAGTGAGAGCAGCTTTAGCTTCAAACTCAACTACTTCGTACATGTTGACAAATTGTCTTCTTAAACCGTCATTTTAACTTGGGTGGTAAAAACTTGAGAAGACATCCAGTGTTAATTCTTTGTCTAGTAGAGAATAAGCTATAAATTTTCAGATGCACGGTGACAGGTCAATATTTTATTAAATAGAAGAACATGAAGAAAATCAATGCGTGGTCAAGTATTAGGTTT